CTCGGATGACCACGTAAAATGGCGATCCCGTCTCCAGTAGGAGACGTAAAAATACTGGTGTCCCCAATTAGTACTTTCGTGCTAAACTACATTGACACTCAAATAACGTGCATTTTTTTAACCAAGGCCCAGAGATACTTCATTTTGGGCAGAAAGTAACAGGCCCCTGGATCCATCCGTTTTAGATACAAAGTTTATATCTTAGCCGAAAGAGAAGTATTCGTACGATAAAAAGGGGGTGCATGGGCCTCCAACCCCTCCCACCCCCTGTCAGTCTAGATCCACCTTTGCCTCTTCTGTCCCATAAGTATTTCGCTGAAGGGTGGACAGTTTGATTTACTAAGGAACGAGGCCAGGCCGACATGTTACTGGTCTAACAGAACTTTAATTACATCATTTTAAAAAAACCAAGGCTATGTACAATAATAAACAGGAAACCTGAAAATGTATCAGCCACTATATGTACAAAAAATTCTAAAATGGCGCTTACTGTAAATCAGTGAAAGCATGATCACATTAAGCTAATAACACGCCTATACGAAAATTTTTTAATGTCTATATCATATGTAGCCGTCCATGCGTACCTTACGAGCAGTGGTTTAACTACTGGTCGCAGGGTACTGTATAAATGGCTATCTAAATTGATCATATATGTCTATCAATTTGTGACAGTGTCGCCATTATGGAATACTTTACAGAGTTCATAGTAAAGCGTCATTTATATATAAACCGTTTCAGTTTGTTTAAATACACATTGTTAATATGACGTTGCTATATTTACGCAATACTATATAAAGCCACCGTGTCCAAAAAACAATTCTCCGTAGTGTTAGTTATATTTCGCAGAATGTTAGTCAATCCCAAATTGTACTATGTAAAGCTATAAAATATCACATGTAGCTATACTGTAGGTACAACTATCTCAAATGAATAAATACAGTGTCTATCAATTTAACCCAGTCTCCAAAATCGCATTGCTGGAGATTTTTAGTTACGCGTTTTCCATATGAACCTTTTAATTTTTGAAATCACAACCTGTTCAAGAAAAAGACATAGTAGAGTCCAAAAACAATTTCACTTCACCTAAAACTGAAAGTATTATGAAAGTAATACAACAGAAAATCGAAGGGCTGCGAGATTGCTTTGAAGTTACCTGATCACTGTGACGCTTTGTAGAAAAAGAAAAAAAACAACTTCTTTTTAAGGCTCCAAAAACGCCACTGAATCAAGACTAAAATCAGCGCTATTCAGGGAAAAACCAACACATGTTTAAATAGATTAGATAAGCGTACTTAACAGAATATTGTCATTGGTTTTAAGATACTTTTGGCTTCCTGGGTTATTTAATTACTAAAGAGGTTTGTGTAGTATAGCGAGATGCAAAATCCTCGAGAGATGCCCGATGACTGATGGAGGAGTTAAACGCTTCACTGCAGCACTCACATACACTAAGTTGAAACCTCCATAGTAGTAATGAAGACACTAATGAAGGAGTTAAACATTTAAGTATTCTATCCCGCTAAACTACACATACATTAACATGTTTTTAGTTCGCAAAAACCCTGATTGTATTCGTTCCCAGGTAAGAACCTCGCAATCTCAATACATCCTAGCGACTGAAGGTTGTTGATTCTTAAATCAAAATCCAAAATTCCTTCAACAGAGAAACATTTACATTGCAGATATGGTTTAGAAAACTACTTTACAGTTTATGTTCATTGAGTTTAGGAGATTTTTATCAGTTATGTTGTTTCCAAAGAGGTTTAAGCTGTTTAGTATGCAGTTAGTGTGTGCGAGTACTGTAGATAAATGTTTAACCCCTTCATCAGTTATCTTGTTATACCCGAGGTCTAACCTGTTTAGTTTGCAGTTAGTGTGAGTGAGTGCTGTAGATAAATGTTTAATTACTTTATCAGTTATGTTGTTATGCATGAGGTCTAAGCTGTTTAGTTTGCAGTTAGTGAGTGTGAGTGCTGTGAATAAATGTTTTACTCCTTCATCAGTTCTGTCGTTATTACTGAGGTCTAACCTGTTTAGTTTGCAGTTAGTGTGTGTGAGTGCTGTAGCTAAATGTTTAACTCCTTCATAAGTTATGTTGTTACCCTCGAGGTTTAAGCTGTTTAGTTTGCAGTTAGTGTGTGTGAGTGCTGTAGATAAATGTTTAACTGCTTCATCAGTTATGTTGTTACGCCTGAGGTTTAACCTGTTTAGTTTGCAGTTAGTGTGTGTGAGTGCTGTACATAAATGTTTAACTGCTTCATCAGTTATGTTGTTACGCCTGAGGTTTAAGCTGTTTAGTCTGCAGTTAGTGTGTGTGAGTGCTGTACATAAATGTTTAACACCTTCATCAGTTATGTGGTTACTCTCGAGGTCTAAACTTTTTAGTTCGCAAAAACCCTGATTGTGTTGGTTGCCAGGTAACAACTTCGCAATCTCAATACATCCTAGCGACTGAAGGTTGTTGGCGGTTAAATCAAAAACCAAAATTCCTTCAACAGATTTAAGTGCATGCACTAATGCTAAACAGTCGAGAGGTGACAGGTTACACGAAATAAAATTAAGCGCATTACAACCAATTGTCGCCAGTTTCTTTTGAACTTCTCGATCAGAGGCTTTGTTCTCATACATGCAGTTGAATAGCGTCACCACTAATAACCTGTCTTCAGGAGCTGGCCAACAGGTCAGTGTTTCAGTTCGTTCCTCTGAATCTTCATTCATCTTGATGTAAACTTCTTTAGTAAAAGTTTCTGAGGGAAGAAGGTCGCTGAAAATATCTGTTGATTGTCCTTCTTTCTCAGCCAGCAGTCCAGCCACAAACTGCATCACAACCTTCCACGCGCCCTTCCAGATGTGAGCGGAAACAAAATCCCGCAGTTGTTCGGAACTCAACGTGTCTACCAAATACTTCGCCGCTAAGAACTCCTGTAAAGTCAGGTGTAAAAAGCAATATTGTTCTCTTCCATCTGCTAAAGGATGGTCTTTAGTATCAGGTAAACGGTGAAACAGGCCATTACTCTCTAGGCTGTTAACCTCATGCGATTCAAAAATTAATCTTCCCTTTCGAATGCCATTAAAAGCAATTTTTCCCAGACTTGTGAACTCCTTTTGCACAGAGGAGGGCAGTTCCTTAAATGGTTTTAGAAAGAACTGTTGTCCTTCAGTTTTATTGTGGCGATACTGACCATCATCGTAACTAAAGTAAAACATCTTCATTGCAATGGAGTATATTTCTGTCAGTCTTGTTGGGAGGTAGTGGAGGCTGGTTAAGCTAGTGTTGAAGAGCAACTCTAACAAGCATGAACAAATGATGAAACAATTTACGGGAATGTAGCAGAAGGCTAGAAGATTTAAGTTACTGGTGATGTGTTGCCTTATGGTTTCTGCTTTGTCTTCCAGCTTTGTAAACTTCCCTACATAGTCATTCACTTGCTCAGTTGTGAATCCCAGAATTTCAACTGCTCTGTTAAAGTTAAGACTTCTGACACATGACACGGCATTGGGTCTTGTAGTCGTTAAGACTGTCGCGCCGGTAAGAATTTTTCCCGTTACTATTTTCTTCAGCAGGAAATGGACAGGCATCTTGTCTTCTTCATTGTTTCTGTACGGAACGTCATCTTTACTGATTTCAGTCCTATAAGAATACTCGTCAAATCCATCAAAAATCACCAGTACTCGCTTTGGGTTGTGACGAATGTAGTTCCAGATCTCTTCGGAAAGAGCTGTTGAATATTCTGAGTGATCCAGAAGCTCGCGAAGATTTAGTTCTTTGCTTCTAGAGTTAAACATCCTCAGCTTAATGAGGAAGGCAACTTTAAAATCTATTTGCGATTTTTGAGTTTTGTTAAACAAGGTGTCGGACGCCCAGTCGCGAAGAATCTTTGTGCTGAACATGGTTTTTCCAATTCCAGGACGACCAACAACAAGAATCTTCCGTTTTTTAGCACCAAAAATATCTCCTGGACGCGTTGGTCGCAAATTTTCATTGGCTTTGTGGTACTCTTGTAGTTGTTCCATTCTGTCTCCAGAAAAGTTATACTTAACTCTCCCCTCATAAATAATTAGATTGGTGAAGATTTCGTCAAGCTTCAGATCTCTTCTGGGTCCTTCACCTGGATTGTGAAAAGGTGATTTAAGATCTCCGTAAGGCTGTTCAGTGACTTCTCGTACATGTTTCTTCATATCTTCGATGATGGAAGGAGCTAATTTTCGTTCGTTAGTTTGAGTGCGGTTGAATGACGAATCATGTGAAGCGTTGCCGGATGAAGATGTTGATGGTCGCCTTTCGGTTGGACCGTCCTTATACTCATGTTGCTGCAGCCCTGCCGGAGAAACAATCAATTATCACTATTTACTTGAAAAAGTGGTTAACTAAAATATCAAAATATCACTATCAATGAGAATAGTACGGAAAAGAATATTTCAGAATAGTAAGTCATATGAACCAGTAAGGCCCGGTTCAGACGCCGAACTTTTCATGAGCCGAACCTAATACATTGAATTAAGTACATGAAAAGTTCGGCGTCTGAATCAATTAGGAACGCCTGTTTTAATTTGGAACGGCTCAGCCGTTCTTTTCGCCTAGCCCGGCCGAGAATTTCGCCTTTAGAGCGACTTTGGAACCGCTTTGATTCAGACGCCGAACTTTTCATGTACCGAACCTAATGCATAAATCATTATAAAGTATTTTGTAAGCAATTTGACCGAAATGAGCATTTTTCACCTTTTGAACTTAGTTCAGCTGCAATTAAGAACGGCGTCTGAATCAATTCAGCCGGTCTAAAGAATTTGGGTCGACCTTAATTCGAATTAGGTTCGGCTCATGAAAAGTTCGGCGTCTGAACCGCGCCTAACAATCTCAAATCTTAGTCAAGTAATTTTAAAATTTAACAAAGAAAAACAGACAAAATGACTGATTGATATATCATGACATAAAAATCGTTCAAATCGGGGTTAGCGTTTTTATCCTCCTTCATTAAACTCTCTGCTAACAACATTTTAAAACTATCACAGGAATAGATAAAACATGATATCGAGATAAAAATCTTAAACAGAATATTAAAAAAAAAGATGATAAAGCAAGTGATAAATCAAGATATGCGGATTACTGACAAGAAACATGGGTTGTGGGCGTACCATGTGGTTTGTTGAAATATTGGTTTATCTCCACCTTAAACAAAATCCGGGCTTGTCCAATACTAAGGGAACACATTCACTATGTGAACCAATCACACAAATGGAAGACATTGTTTGACAATTCCTATCACTCATATGACTTGCGCAACTTGAATCTTAACTTACACAATTTGAACAAGTGGTGTGTATTGGACACCTAAATTTGAGATAATACATGTGTGTACCGAAATTGTATATAATTTATACCATGTAGCTTATCTGTGACTGTACTAAGTAACCCACCAATGGATTCAATAAATCATATGCCCTCTATGAGAAATTAAGATTACCTTGATAATGAGGCCATGAATAAAAAGCACAGGGTTCATTCAAAATGTGTGCAACAAGAGATGCTGCCATCACACTTGCACTGGAAGACCAACTCTCAGAAGCCAACTGAGAGCCATCTGCATAATCAGCTATTCCTTTGACAATTAACCACTCAATTTCACAATCAAATGCTGCTGCAAATACTCCTGTAGGAAAACAAAACAAACAGTAAATTAGTTTTAAGACAGTCCTGTGTACATGCACAAAAAAAAATTTGTGTGGTGCTCAGAGACATCATGCAGCTGCTATTGCTTCAGCGCACCTCTAAAAATGTAGCAATAGAATTAAACTATTTACCTTAAGCATCAAGTTAAAGTAAAGTTAAGATTAAAGTTTATCCAGTTTTGAGGGTACATGTATACTCCTATTCTATGAGAAGTTACCTTAAAGAAATGTAAGGTACAGTGGGCTAGGGTGGCTTTTTCCCATAGAAATCTCTTAAATTTAAATCAGTTTAAATCAATCACAACTACACAGACTATAAACCAAGAACTAAACAAATTTTCACAGTATGGAAAAATAACAGTAGCCATTTTTGCTTAAAAGGTCTGTAATGTGTAATATCAAAACTCAAAGATGAGTGATGGCGAGGTGCCTGCAAGGCTTGTGGACCGGCAAGATGCCGCCAAGTGCAGCACATAACCTTGACAACCCTGTGAGTGGCATCCACACAGGCACCATCTCATTGCTCACCAGTGGAACATTAGGGTCGCATACTTAACATATACAGTCGAACCTGTATTAAGCGGTCACCCTCTATTAAGTGGTCAGTTTTCAAAGTCCCGAAATTATTTCCCTTGATGTACTGTAATTTTGACCTCTATTAAAATTAATAAGCGGTCACCTCTATTAAGCGGTTGTGGCCACCATATTTGCAAAGACGTTTTCTATTGTCCATATAGTTTCAAATAATGTAACACATGAGGTACAACAATAATTTCCTTGTTTATTTTCGCAAATCATTAAAATGCCTGAAATGAATGTTTCTATTTGAGGTCAAACGTCTGATCTGATCAGCACTGGAGATAGAATTCTTTGAACTGTATTTCTTGAAACCTGTATTAGGCAGTCACCCTGTATTGAGTGGTCTTTTAGCCATTCCCCGATGGTGACCGCTTAATACAGGTTCGACTGTACTTACTAAAGGGAAGGTGGTGTAACGAGCAGAACACTTCACAAGCAAGCAACATTAAGTTTTACAAAAATAATGGTATGACCTTGACAAAGAAGTTTTAAATTCCCAATGTCCCTGCAGGGAAATTTGAGCACTGGAACAAAAAGGCCACTGGCCAGCAAGGTGTTGAATTTATTTAATATTTCATGCTCTCTTTCCACTGCAAGTAAAGCTCTAAATGTTATTACCATTCTTTAAACCCAAATCATGCCGATTCATGAAGAAAATTAAGGAAAAAAGATTTACCTTTTATGGAAGGCGTCAGTTAACTTTGTGTATGTTGTGGTTCAATTATTTAGTTATCCTTGGTTTATATTTTCTTTTCCTTTGTTTTGGAGTATAGTGATGTATAATAATGAGTTTGAAACAAAGGAAAGTAAAATTTAAACCAAGTAAAAAAGGTGAACCATAACATATAAATGGAATGTGTCTTTCCAGAAAATATCCATAACTTCCCCATAGATCATCGAATTTCCGTGGGGAGGGGGATTAAAATGCCAAAAATTCCAAAGGGTCACGAAAGACTTGCAATAATCATTTATGTACAGTGTACTTACGTATTACTATTGTTGTAATGACAAACAAAAACAACAGTCAACTTACCTTCTCCTTCATTTTCCATTGCCATTGCCTGAGGATTTGTTTCAGCAAGTTGATCACGTCGCTGTCCAGAAATGACTTGTTCTGGTCCACTCAGAAACTCAGCAGCAGTATGAACTTGAACTTGTTGAGCATCAGCCAGGTTCTTCAAAGGTGCTATCCAACCATCAGCACAATTCTTAATGACATTCAGGAAACATTTGCTCACATAATTTCTCATGCCAGTTGACTGCTCTTGATCATTGATCACCACTTTGGGTGCATATGTTGTTAATTTGGCAGAAACAACAACATCTCCTAACTTGGATTTCTCAGGGTGAAGACCACTACATGCACCAACAGATATAACTGCTTTAGGTCTTAGCACAGTTGCAGCATTCTTAACAGAGATGAGAGAACCACCAGGACAACTACTGTTCTCGTAACATTTTAATAATGCGACTTTTACTTTCTCTTGACTTCCATCCACATCAGAAAAGTAAACGTACCCAAGACCATCAAAGTAACATCTATGGGGGCTCTTAAGCTCACTGTAACAAGCTAAGAACTCATAATTCTTCACTGTCAGTAACAACACATCAACCGGGAGATCAGCATGTTTTGAAGGTTTGGTTAGTGTGTTAATGTCAGCCAAGGATGAGAGAACTTTATTAAGCTCAGGAGCGCCTCTAATGGGCTTCGTCCCTGCAGTATTTTTTGAACAAGAATGGAGACTGTCAGTAAGCTGAAATGCAGTACCATCACTGCCCTCTGATCTGCTCATAGTATCCTCTGGAAAACTGGTGGTAAGCTGGGTTGTATTGCCATCATTACCCTCTGATCTGCTAGTTGAATGCTCTGAAGATCTTGATGATCCTATATGATGAATTAAATGAAACAAAAAAAGAGAATTAATGATAATAATATTTATAATATATATATGTGGTGTGCTAGTCCTTGCTAGCTGTCAAAAACTGTAGCCAGTGAGTTGACATCCACAGAACACAGACTGGACCTGGCCACTTTTAAGCTTGGTTACTGTAAAGAACTTTTTTTAATTGAAAATATTATTGCCCTGAAAGATAAGAAGTTATGGGACAAGATCACCGACAGCAATTCAACAACAGCTTTGGATGACCTTCTGCCACTGAAGCAAACTATATTTGGTTATGTTATGTAAGAGGTGTCATAACTATATTCTCCCGTCTGTCAGAACTGAGAGTTTCAAGAACTTTTGTAAATAGATGTTTGTTCTCTAGTTAGTCAGTTAGTTACCAAGTTAGTTAATTATTATCTGTACAACTAAATTTATATCATTGTAACTAAACACATCTGTTGTTTAGAGTGTTTAATAAAGACCTTTATTATTAGCGCTATGGGGTTGGTTCCAAGAAAGAAGCTTTGGTTAATCTCAGGAACAAGAATCGCTGAAAGACGATTTTAACTGGGCTGCCAAGAGATGATTTTTTCTGAGGGGAGGGCCGGGGGCGGCTGTATGCACTCAGGCTACTATAAAACCTTGTCCATTGCGTGTGAGTGAAACATACATAAACTCATTTGAACATTGTACCATTTTGGAAGGCTTTCGTAACAAGAAAAATGAGTACCATTTTTAAGTCGGGGCCGTGTGGTAACTTTTAAATTCCACCATGATGAATAAAAATAAGCAAGTAGAAAATTATTTACCATTATTTTCACGCAACCCTCCCCCAATCCCCCTGCCCCCTAAATATAGCCTGATAGTATAACGCACTATTTTGACCTCACCAGAAATTCGAAAAATTATTGTCGTTCGTTCTTTTTCCTTGAAAACGCTTATTTTATGGATTTAATGAGTTCGCAAATGAAGCATGAACTGACGACACTGCCAACAGATAAGACATGCCAGGCATCCTTGACAGGGCTCAAAGTTAACGACTAACTGGTAGCATATGCGACTGGATTTTTGGTTAGGCGCCTAAAAATTCATGTGTAATCGCACCTGTGCGCCATAAAACCCACAGCACAGTGTGACTGACTTGCTTCTGACTATACTTACGAACTCGAACCAGATAAGACGGTGTATGTTTAATTGGTCTTTTCTCCCAATGGATTCCACGAACTCGAATGTTCTTTTTCGTTTCGATGTTTTACTCCATCCCAGACTCTTCTGTTTTGTAATAAACACCGCTGACACATGCAAATATATGCTACGAATGAAACACATGCTTTTTGCGCGATGGACGATCATATCGAACGATCAGTTTTAAGGTCAATCAAAACAAAAACAGTGCGGATTAAGAGCCTTTTTTCCAGGTAAGAAAGTTTTTAAGTCATATCCCAGGTACAAGTAAGTCATTGCGCATTTAACAAATTCATTAAAGATTAACTTTCATTCTCGTTCGACACACTCGTTGTTGTCACTTTTGAATTTTTTTTCGAGTGTAAATTTTCTTTAGTCACAGCAGTACTGTCAAAAAGAGAAATTAGTACTAAAAATCACAACAGTATTACTGCGTAGCAAATCGGCTGTGTTTTATCAATCACAGGACTGAAGTAAAAGTAACAAACTGAAGATGACAAATAAACGAGGCACTGTTAAGCTTTTTACTTTTTCTTTTGAAATAGATGCTCCCAACATTATAAACTGTGCTCCTAAAATTTTCAGCTGTGCACCTAAAATTTCGGCGGTGCGCCTAAAAATTTACATCTGGTAGCACAAGTGTTCCCAAACTCAAATTTAAACTTTGAGCCCTGATTGATCAGTGATGTTTTTGTGTTCATTTGTAGAAGAAAACCAAAAAAGCTTGAATTGTACATCAAGTTTTAGAGGCCTTTATGCTACGAAACATCCTTTCTTCTCCCGTGGAAAACAGTCTCATAAAGTTTTTGTCCACTCAATGCAAAACATGCAGGTCTTCTGACTGAGGACGCCATGTAAAATTTTGAAGCTTGTGGGATTGGGAGCGACTGCTGACAAAGGAGGCTCAAATTCAAGACATCAGAAATAACAAATTTTATTATATGGAGGAGAGTGTTTTACTGGGAACTAAACCACTCGTAGATTCCATACGCCACTTCATCCGGGATCCGAGTGGCGTATTTTCCGTATGTCACCTTTGTGAGTGTCGTATCGTTCAATGACGTCACGATTCCCGCCTTTTGCTTTTGTTGAATTGGTTTCTTCATATAATAAAAAGAACATTACACGTTGGCTCGAAGATATGAATTTTATGTTCTCGTGGCCAGAACAATATCTCACTCGTTCCCTTCGCTCACTCGTGAGATATTGTTCCTGCCACGAGAACATAAAATTCATATCTTCGAGCCACCGTGTAATATCCTCTATATATACTCGATCGTAATGGCTAATATCTTGCGATTGCAGACACAAGTTCATCACAAGATATTCTTATTTTTGAAGTACACAAGTAGTTTGAGTCATTTGAAATACTTTGAAGTAAAATAAGCCAATTTGGGCATATTTGGGACCATACAGGTATTTGCGAAGGATTTGACTAAAAAATGGAAAATCTGCAAGGGAGGGGAATGGAATGGAATTCCGAGGGCATTGGGGGGATAATGCAATTTTAGAAATTCTGAAGGCAAGCTAAGGGGGAGGGGGTAAAATATGGAAGCCGTCAGTAGTATGGTATGGATATTTTCTGGAATCACCCAATGGCCTATTAAGAGTAAATAGTTTCCAGCACAGATAAATTATTTTAAACAAAAAATTAACACCGGACAATTTTGGGCCAGCTGGGCCCAATTCCTTGAAAGACCGTTAAGTTTAACCCTGAGGGTAACCCAATTACAGGGTATTTGTGTATGAATTAAGAGCTCATTAAGTGTTAGCCTTTACTTCAAAACCCAGTTACAAAAAATAAAATCTACTCTAAAACAATCTACAGCAAAGAATCTACATTATTGTCATGGAAGTTTAACCCTTTAACCCCTAATAAGAATGGTCAGCATCTAATTTCTTCTTTACACATCACATGGCTTAACCCACTCACATGGTATATTTTAAAATGAAAACAGACAAAAATAAGAAAAAGAAAAATGAGGTTTGAAGCTAGGGAAGCTATGTTTTGATCAACCACAGGCCAAGGCATATGTTTGTGCTGCTAAATTACAGCTTCTAAAATTTGAGCATGCGTGGAGGGAAAAATTTCAAGAAAGGTTTTGAGTTTAAAGCTGACACTGCTCCCTCTGCTTCCTTTCACTGGTTTGAGTGGAGCAACTAACTGCTTGATCAACAAGGAGCTAGCTTCAATGATAGTGTCTCCTTTTGATTACTTCAATTAAGGAAAAAAGAAGCCAAGGTTGACTGAAAGCACTGGACTACTAAAGCAAAAACATTTTGTCTGTTAATTATTACAGGATGATTCTGTTATTTCCTGATTGCAAATATATTTGGGACTGGTTTTATTGTTTCAAACATAACTCAAAGTAGAGAAACATAAGAAATGAGTAAGCAATCAAATTTAGGATAGCAAAAATTTCAAAAAATTCTATAAAGAAATCCTTTAAAATATGGTAAGAGATAACCAGGAAGATGATATATGAGTCCATGTTCCACAGCCTTCCAATACACCAAGAAGAAAGAAAACTCTCGATCAGATTTAGGAAAAATAGTTAAAAAGTGGTTATATATTAACCACTTCAATTTTGTACATGTTACAGGTCAAAATTAAGTTGATTCTCTTTTTTTTTTTGTCTCCTAGCCCTAATTATTCATGAGTTAGGGCTAGGAGACAAGGGAATTCAAGAATCAACCTGGGTTAAAAAATTTTAACCTGTTTCTCCTTCCAGCAGGGTCTTCCTGGTTCTACAATCTTTCTGCCACCATGTTATATTAATGGCTCCCTTCCCCTCCCTCCCTGAAAAAATGAGTGAAAATCCACTTGAATATTTTTCAAAACTTCAGTTGTCTCCAGTATCCAAAAAAATTATGGCCAAGGTTGCAAGTTCCAGGGATCATATTTCCACTTTCAGCTATAAGTGGACCTATGTTTAAACAACAGAAATTACCTTCTTCACCAGAGTCTTCAGCCACATCTCTTCTGTTCTTTCTTGCTCGCATAAACGGCTTCATACAACAACAAACTAGAGGATTAAAATTTATTTTTAAATATTTATAAGCAAAAAAAGACAAATTAGCAAACAAATTTTTTATAAACAAGAGAAAATGAATCCAAGTAAAAAAAAATTAAATCAGTGAAAATCAGTGGGTTTGTACGCTGAATCTCCTGCATTTTTGATACAATACAAATCTCCTGGTCTCCCATACGGATCACCAAATTTCCTGGGTAAAATTGAATTTTGAGCTTTTCAGTGCTTTAGTTTGGACTTTAGCTCTTCTAAAAGTCAAAAATTTTTTTGTCAATCAAAGGATGCTTTCTGTGGCATTTTTGAACAAAGTGTTTTCATCACTGCAAAGACTATTTTGTTAATTTTCAGAGTCTGTAATTTATATGAGACTTCGGATAATGTCCTGAGCCAAACCCATGTCATAATTTGGGGTCACTGGGTCGATTTGCGGTTATGGGGACAGCGGTGTTTGATGTTGGTGGTACTGCAAAATAGACAGTCTCCAGATTTCAAATCTCCAGAGGTTGGCACCTCTGAGGGTGATGGGTTCAGCCAAATGAAGTGGCCAAGGTTGCAATAGTCGTACATTGTACAGAGATCACATTTTCACTTTAAACTGTAAGTGGACCTATTCTTTACCTTCTTCATCTGATTCTTCAGCCATATCTCTTCTACTCTTTCTTGCTTGCCTGACAGTAAGTTGAAATGGCTTCACACAACAACAAACTAGAGAATCAAAGTAGTTTTTTAATATTTATAAGCAAAAAACAAACAAACAAACACACAAACAAGATAAAAACAAATCCAAAGCAGCTATACCACACTTGTCATTAACATGAGAAAAATAGGTAGCCAATGGCTACCAGTGTACTGGCTGGGGAATCGGAAGACCGAAAGTGGAAGGGCAAGAAATTGTGATTCTATGAAAGTCTAAGTGGGAAGTGCACTGAATGTTTTTGCATAACTTAATTTGTTTACATACTTGTAACAGACCTTATTCGTATCACTTGTATGTTTTAATTTTCTGTTCTGGAATGACATTATAGGCGAGATTTTATCCTTTGTCTTGTTGGAAATATAGTGTGTGTGACAGCATTAATATATATGTCCAATTTTAAAAGAGAAGACTCCCTTGAGTATCATCACCTGATCTACAACAGGGCAAAATTATGCACACTCGCCACAAAAGGTACAAACGAATAATATCAACTAAATCAATAAGAGAACAGAGCTGAGAGTTGTTTAACCTCACAATAATTTTAAAACACCAAACAACTTTATAAAGATAATTTCACTTATAATCGCCGATTTGTATAAGCTGAGATTCAAGTCTTGAATGAAAGCAAATCTGACTTCGGCATTAAACTGAGTACCTAGAGCTATGCATGTATAACTACTTCAACACTTGAATACCACAATTTAACTATTTCAGAGAGAGTGCAAAGGTTATCTCCTTTATTTCCAACTTTATAGCATTTGTTTATGCAAATGCACCCTCACATCAACTCTTAACCACTCAAACGTACAAATCCCCTTTTTTTAAACCCACCTATAATTTTTCCCAGGTTTCAGGGTCACATTTAAACTAAAAGTTTGCCAATAATTTTTCATTCCCACTGGTAAAAATGCAAAGGCTTAATCCCAGATCCAATGATTAAATCTCAGGGAGAAAGGAGGTGGAGGAGTTTTTATGGGGCCGGGGGTGTGTAGCTAGTGAGACCCTGGAACCCTTAGCCTATATCAGTCAACCCTGTTCAGCTGCAATTTTGTGACATTTTTCTACACACTGGGAACCAAAAGTCCCTACCCTACCCCAGACTAACTATGGACAAGGAACTCCATTTTATTTTATAAAATAACTAAGATAGTACCCACGTTCTGATTGGCCAAGAGGTGTGTTAGCATGAGAGAATGTAAACATGATTGTCACATCAAGATGTTTTGCTTTTCGCACACTAATCACACCAGCATGAATTTGAAAAAGGTTTCGAGTTGAAAAACTCAACAAGTTTACTTTATTTACCCATTTCCTTGTTGGCCCAACCTTGGAAAATCTTTAGAAACATGCTGTGTCAATTTTTTTTCGCTTGAGCTGACATTTTAAAAACCCGTATTTTGGAAAGCATCTTTTTTGCAAAACAAGGACTGATTACACATACAAGCTTCGTGTACAAGACTTCGCAACTGGTAAGAATTTCTCTTTTAATCAAAGCTCGAAACAAGAGGGTTTTGCTTTTTTTCTTGGAAAAGTTATTTCATAAAAGCAATAGAAAACTTTTTTTCTGTGTTTGCATATCCTGATATAAACACTCGCGGAGTTTGGAGAATTCTCGACAGTTATGCAAACTCTCGACTTTGTCTCGGGTTTGGATAACTGTTATGAATTCTCCCAACCCCTCTCGTGTTTGTATAAGGCTATGCAAACACGGAAAACGTTTTCTATTGCTTAAATTTATAACACTGATATGTGTACTCTATTCTTGATAAAAAAATCTTCTAAATTCTGATATCTACATATATGTATTAATGTCGCAGTTCCTTTAGACAACAAAACATATGGCGTAAAGGGGGGAACACCACTCTGCGATCGGCATGATGGACGACTTTCATAGCATGACCATAAAGTCTTCCTTATCTCCCCGGCACTAATTTACTTGTGCCGGATCGGACAAGTTCAGGTAGGTCCAAAAGAAACAAACTTAATACGGCCTAACACTTCATGGCACTACAAGCTGAAACCTATGGCCAGCATCGTGCAACCTTATGGAATGGTGTAGGCAAATATTTTTTTGGCTCTAGGAACTTTATCTTATCAGCACTATGAGCCGACTCCGCTGGCACGTGCTGGAATACAATCAAACATAAAAGTCTGCATTAAAATCAAAGCTTGGGAAAGTCGCTGTGAGACTTAAACCAAAGGCAAAAGAAAGCGGTGAGCACGTGTTTATTAGGAACAACAACAAAGCCTCCAAAGGGAGGGAAGGGTGGGAATTACAAAACTTTAGGATGGTTGAAGTATTCCAACTTGGCAATAGGCCTTTTATAGTCCGAGTGCTATCCCAAGGTAAGCCGATGAAACATACTGTACTACTGAATAGAAAGTACACCTAAATTTCTCCACGAGATATGCATGAGAAAAAATATTTTAACTTAATTGATTCTTACCTTGACAAGCAATGCATACAGTCAAATACAATGCAGAAATCTGAAGAGGTCACTTTGATTAGCAAGAAGCAGCGAGATGGAGCTTGATGATTGTTTGATTTATACAGTGATACGCTTGGTGAGAAAATCAACTCAGTTGAAAGACAATGTTTGTTGGATTGTCCTTAACAACAAAAAGTCAAAGATTTACCGCTGAAAGGGAAGATAGAGAAATACAGTAAATTACACATCCACCTTCACAGTTAATGCACTCCTAGACATGCATGTTTCGTCAAGAGTTTTATGTTGATCTGCCTGATAGTCTTCACTGATTGGTTCAAAAGTGGCTCTTGACCAATATGCCCATGTAAGCTGAAAAATTTGGAAACGAATCTGAAATTCTACATTAGTTGAATGGATTTTAGGTTTCACTACATGTAATCTCTGTATCGATCAATAAACTTCATATGTCAAATGAATCCATTTGTGCATTGTGCCCACAAAGTTGTTGTGGTCTGTGATAACATAAGGTGTTTCGATATTGTTTTTCAGAGGCCATACTGATATGTTTCAATCGCTTTAAAAATGATTTTATCCTTGTCTGATTGCTATAAAATTTTCACCAATGATTGACTATAGATTGAAATTTGTCAAAATGTAGGTTTTAGTAAAATCGATGTTACCATGACAACAATATACCAAAAACTTTGAAATTGATAAACACCTAATTTTGCGCGATCTAGACCACCTACTGAAATTTCAACACTAGGAACTTAAAGTTTGGTGTTAAGCAAATAACCTCCACGACAAGTAAGAAATTCTGTACGTTTGAATTCGACTAAAGATAAAATATATTTCAAACCTTAAACTTTCATTAGCCGTGATAGATTATTTAATAAGAACGTTATCAATGACTCACATTACTTTTAAGTAGCATCAGAAAAAAATTGCTGCTTAATATCATATTGCGATGCTAGGAAATTTTGCTGAATTTTTTTCTTGCGATCTTAAAAACTAACCCGTTTTCTCACCACCTGTCTAAGTATAACTTTATTCAAAATTTGGACTTTTAGCGCTTTTTTGTACATCTCTGAAACTACTTGAACAAATATTTCCAGTGGGTTCTCGTGATGCATAAGAGTGTAACAAAGAAAAAACACAAAAACTTACTACTATAATTTATTTGCAAAGATATAAAACACGACAAAAGTTAAAGAGCCACTAAACATAAGGATTAACAAACATATTTTGTCAGTCCCCTGGCGTGACCGCTCAAGCGAAAACGTTCCTCGCAGTTTGCCGTTTTCGAAGGGATAGTTGTTTGAATGGATTTGGTATCAGTTTGAATGGCTCGGGCTATCCGTTCAAAAAAAAATTGTCATCCATGTATGGTAAGTAACACAGTTGTCATGACCACAAGAAAAATAGTTAGTCAGTAGCTACAAGTGTAAAATCTGGCTTTCGTAGGAGCATTAACCATGCATCCACAGATATGCTTGTGAATTTAATTTTTAAGGAAGTTTTTGTTTGCAGATAAGGAGTCAGACTGAATTTTACAGCAAGTACCACAGGCAACACCCTGACAGGTTTTTCTGCTTTAGCACATAAGGAATTTTACCTTTTATTTGTTAGGTCAAAATAATCATTAAGTTGATAAACTCATGTTTCATCACATCTAAGCCAGTGATGAGGCATACATTAAAATTTGTGAGTGATTTCCCCTAAAGGAACTTAAAATTTTGATTGGATGTTATGTGACAGATTTGGGCTCAGATTTGCGAATAGCCCACGTTCGATACATATGTATGTCAAAATTCTAACAAGACTTCTAGCAGCCTGAGTCGCAGACTCTAGGAAGCAACGCCAATATCCTTGTTCTGGCCCCCAACATACTCAACAAATTGCCAGAAGAGCATTTTGAATTTCCTTTCATCTTGATTGGCAAATCAACAATGGCATTTTTAACAGGCCAAATTATCATAGCTCATACTTGAATCCTGGGAAGGATTTAGGGTAGAAATTGCAAATTTCTAACCACTCTGTTGTATTGCAATTCCCAGAAGAGACTTGAGCACACAAAAAAAACAAACCAAAAAATCACAGAAAACAGACTAGAAAGCCTTGGGAGTGATGTTAGAATAGGCTGATTTAGCAACAGAACAGAAGCGTCAGTTGAGGACGGGAAAGCGCATTGAAAGGACTAAACGTGACTTCCAGAGCCCAATTTGTCACTGTGCCATTGGTCAAGCCAGTTGTTTGATTATGTTCTGTTGCTAACTCAGCCTAATATATCTAAGGTGGGTGGGCTATTCCTTTCTCCCACGCACGTCCTTTATATACTCGCGCGCCTTCGATCATTCCCTCACGCCATCTCTCACTACTTTTGCACTAGTAACCAAAACCATGTACTTGATTATCGAATCAAGGTGTCACCAAATTTCCCTTCTTTGACTACTACATCGTTGTTTTCCGCCCCAATAATTTTCAGAGCGCTTTAAAGAAAAAGACACAACACAACAGGCACTTTTAAGGTAATGTCATTCAAGTATGCGATGCAAATGAGCTCACATGTAAAAACGAGTTTAACCTCAGGGGACCTGATATGATACTTGCACACAATAAGAAGACACAGTATGCTTAGATTTCACATGAAAAAGAAATGAATTAACTTCGATTCTTACCTTGACAAGCAACGTATGCATTTCAACGCAATGCGGAAAATCAACTACACTGAGAGAACCACCAAGAAGCCAAGCGATGTGGCTTGATAAAGTTGTTTGATGGGACGCTTGCTGAGAAAATCAACTCAGCTGATGTTTTCAGGTTTGCCCCAAACTAAAAAACTCGAAAATTTACCGTTGAAAGTGATAAAGACAGAGATACACTTTGTAAATTCCACACCAACATCAACATCAACTTGTTTGGGAGTGTCTCGACCGTCGAGAGTGTTTGTAATGTGTCCAGTCTCTAACAATTGTCTTCGCATTGATTGGTTCAAAAGTGTCCCATGACCTATCAAGTAAAGTGAGCCGAAAAATCAAGAATTGGATCTGGAATTCTAGCTAGGTTAGTTGAATGGACTTTGTTTTTTTTTCCACAAACGGGTTTGCTCTCGCAAAGCTATAGACATCAGAGCGAGGGACGAGGAGAGGGCTTTCTGAACAAAGTTGTTGCAGAACTCTTAAGCCTAAAGGACCAAGCCCGTTATACCCTTTTGATATCTATACCACTTCTGACCAAACAGATAACCGCTCCTAGTCCTATTGATGGCATAGAATTTACTGAAGCAATGCATACCATGCAGGAACGATATCGTACGACGTGAACCCGTGACAGTTATGTGATTTTCATATTGTCTCCAATGATGAATAACGATTACAAAAATATTATTTGTGGTAACGTCGTATACGGCTCCTAGTACATAGGAAAACAGTCTGCCTCACCCCCCCCCCCCCCCCCCCCCCCTTCCTTCTTCCCCCCCCCCCCTGTTATTTAAAAAAAAAAAAAAAATATTTTTTTTGATAAAAGACGGCAAAATTTATAAAAAAAAAAAAAAATATTTTTGTTTTTTTTTGTTTTTTGGTGGTGGGGAGGAAGACAACCGACGATACATCACCCAACCCCGCACACCCCCCCCCCCCCCCCCCCCCTTTTTCACGTAGTGTCCCCAGTTGCTGTTAAAATTAAAAGGAAACAACTGTTTTTACGGTAGAATTCCAGAGTTAATTTTAAAAAACAAGCAGTTTAGATTGTTTTTTAGACTGTTGCATGGCGTATGCGCTCAATTCAGAAAAGTGATACTCGATCTGAATCCCCGACGACGTTTTCCTGTTCTAAATCCAGTCCAGAGTTAAATTTTACTTTGGTCCTACTAACAAATTTTAAAAATGAAAACAACTCGTCCAAGGGTCTTATAATTTAAGGTCAAACAACTTCCCGTATCAAATGCCACTATTTCACAATATTTCACATTTTGTAAGCGCGTTGGTTTGTTCTTTTCTACTATACACGTTAAAAACCAATATCTAGTTTCCAACATAAATTGTTACGGGCAAGCAAAAGAAAGCTCAGTTATCGGCGGCACGTATCACGTTAGAGAAAAAGCTGGAAGCTTACGCAATAAGAAACTGGCACTTTTACTGTTGACAGATCTTAACAATAATCTGCGACAATAATCCACAAGCATGAAAGGAATGTGGTCAACATAGCCTGCACAGATACGCAAGTGTGCAGGCGAAGAGGAGGACATGATCGCCTCGGGGAGATTAGTTGTGTGGATGAACAAAGAATTAGTATTTGCCAACTTCAAACAGTCGAGAGTGTGCCAATGTTTAGAAAATCTACACTTGTTGTGAGAATCCGAATCAGTGACGAATGCACCGTTTAATTGCCAATTCTATACCATACTATTTTCTTCTGTTGCAATACTGTTCAACACACGGGAACGCTAACATTTGGTATTTATTTTGATTCTTGTCTTGTTTTCTTTAATTAAAAAATTCACTTTTGACTTCCCAGTTAATGTTTGATTTCCTAAATTTGCCCCTTTTCTAAAATGGCACTTAAGATATCGAATGCTTACTGAATATTTCGCAGTACTAGTCGAAACGGAGCTAATGGGAATGAGGAAGCCAAGAAAAAGAGGCGGAAGCCGGGAATGCAAAGTATGGGAGGTTGGGACATCCATGAACCCCCCTCCCCTCCCAAAGGCACTGGGGGTTGCACTAATTAATTTAGTCTGGCTTTAAGTTATTGTGGGTGGATTCAAGCTAGGAAAATGTACCATGTAGAGGACTTGCGTCTTTTTCTGCTCAATCTGAAAAAAATAAATAAATCTTAAGTATTTGGCCACTCTCCCTCTCGCGATTGCGAGCCCCTTCCCTGCCCCAGATATCTTTATCGCTTGTCGTGGCCCTAGGGATATGTAGCCTGCCAAAAAGGCGTTATTTCGCTCGCCCAGTGGTGGGAGGGGGGAGGGGGGGGGTTAAATAGGGGCGCGTGCGCGCAACGAAGCAAGTGGAATTTTACCCCCGATCTGTAATCAAAGATAGTTTGATAGAATAATCCTAAAAACTCTCAAACATGAGCTCGATATTTGGAACAAATCGCCTAAAATACTGAGATACTTTTGCCGGCCATAGGGAGCATAGAGGCGGGGAGATCGTTTTCTTCTCTTGGGATGATCCATACTTGGCTTTGCAACACAATGAACACCGAACGAACTCCATCGCCATTCATGCAGATAAAGTTTCCATCAATAAAAGGCTGGTTTGGGAGACATTTATGGCGCAGAACCGCGGACTAATGATGGCGACTAACAAGTTTCTTGTAACAGCTTAATCTGTGTTATGTTTGATATCGTATACTGCGATTGAGAGTACGCGAATTTAGCGCTGTAGTATGTGGCGTTGCGAGATCTTGCAGTGTTGACCAACACAATAACCAACATGTCCAAATTCCAATTCGATGTACAAAGTGTCTCCAATTAACTGGGGACAGTCAAGAGAACCACAGGTCTACCAGTTCCTGGAACTGTCAAATGTCACCCTCTTTAAATACAGTTTGCTTTTGTTTGTGTTTATTTGAGTAATTTCCTCAGAGTAATCATTTTCGATTTGTTTTTTATTCGTTAATTTTGTTCGCTTCGCCAAAGGAGACAAACAAACAAAGAACATTCAAGGTAGCTAAATTAAAATATGGAGGGAGAAAAAAATAATAACAATAAAATGGAGAATGAAGAGGATTGACAGAGAGAGAAACACCGAAACAGCTGAGGCAGCCAATCACAGCGGGCGGGTTTAATCACCCTGTGTTTGACGGAAGGATCTTGGATTTCGATTGGGGTTCACCTGTTAATGGTCATCTCCTACGTTAGCAAACGCGGAGGATCTAGACTGCGAGCAGTCTCTTATTTTTCTTTGCAAAGTTACTGTACGAGAAATCCAAGTACGCGAGCGGCAAAGCCGCAAGCCGCGATAAACGAGGGCATTGGCCTTTATCCCTTATTGTAACATAACGTCGTGGTTTGCAATCGCGCTAATCGAGACAAGAACAAAACAGATTTTAAGAGGAAAGGCGGAATGCAAGCATTTTAGGAGGATCCGAGATACTTCATTTTGGGCTGAACGCAACCGGCCCCCCAGCCCCTTCACCCAAACCTCAAGTGCTGGATCCATCCATTTTAGATACAAAGTTGATATCTTAGCCACAAAAGCAGTATCCGTACGGTAAAAAGGAGGGGGGTGGGTGCATAGGCCTCCAACCCTTCCCACCCCCTGTCTTGATCCATCTTTGCTTCTTCAGTGCCATAAGCATTTTGCTGAAGGATGGACAGTTTGATTTACTAAGGAACGAGGCCAGGCCGACATGTTCCTAGTCTAACGGAACTTTAATAACATCATTTTAAAAACCAAGGATACGTACAATCATAAACAGGAAACATGAAAATGTATCAGCCACTATATGTACAAAAAATTCTAAAATGACGCTTACTGTTAATCAGTGAAAGCATCAATCACATTAAGCTAATAACATTTCAACAGAAACATTTCTTAATGTATATATCATATGTAGCAGTGTATGCGTACCTTACGAGCAGTGGTTTAACCACCGTTCGCAGGGTACTGTATGTATGGCTATCTAAATTGATCATATATGTCTATGATCAATTTGTGACAGTGTCGCCATTATGGAATACTTTACAGAGTTAATAGTAAAGCGTCATCTACATATGAACCGTTTTAGTTTTTTTTAAATACACATTGTTAATATGACGTTGCTATGTTTACGCAATACTATATAAAGCCACCGTGTCCCAAAAAACGGCAATTTTCGCGTAGTGTTAGTTTTATTTCGCAGAATGTTGATCAATCCCAAATTGTACTATGCGGTAAAGCTATAATATATCACATGTAGCTATACTGTATGTACAACTATTTCAAATGAATAAATACAGTGTCTATCAATTTAACCCAGTCTCCACAATCGCATTGCTGGAGATTTTTAGTTACGCGTTTTCCATATGAACCTTTTAACTTTTGAAATCACAACCTGTTCAAGTACACTATAAAGACACAGTAGTGTCCAAAAACAATTTCGCTTCATCTAAAACTGAAAGTATCATGAAAGTAATACAACAGAAAATCGAAGGGCTGTGAGATTGCTTTGCAGTTACCTGATCACTGTGAAGCTTTGCAGAAAAAGAAAAAAACAACAACTTCTTTTTAAGTCTCTAAAAACGCCACTGAATACACACTAAAATCAGCGCTATTCAGGGAAAAACCAACACATGGTTAAATATATTAGATAAGCGTACATAACAGAATATTGTCATTAGTTTTAAGATACTTTTAGCTTCCTGGGCTATTTTATTACTAAAGAGGTTTGGGTAGTATAGCGAGATGCAAAATCCTCGAGAGATGCCCCATGACTGATAAAGGAATTAAACGCTTCACTGCAGCACTCACATACACTAAGCTGAAACCTCCATAGTACTAATGAAGACACTAATGAAGGAGTTAAACATTTAAGTACTGTATCCCGCTAAACTACCCATACATTAACATGTTTTTAGTTCGCAAAAACCCTGATTGTGTTTGTTGCCAGGTAACAACTTCGCAATCTCAATACATCCTAGCGACTGAAGGTTGTTGAAGCTTAAATCAAAATCCAAAATTCCTTCAAGGTTTAAGCTGTTTAGTTTGCAGTTAGTGTGTGTGAGTGCTGTAGCTAAATGTTTAACTGCTTTATTAGTTATTTTGTTGTACCCGAGGTTTAAGCTGTTTAGTTTGCAGTCAGTATGTGCGAGTGCTGTAGATAAATGTTTAACCCCTTCATCAGTTATGTTGTTATCATAGAGGTTTAAGCTGTTTAGTTTGCAGTTAGTATGTGCGAGTGCTGTAGATAAATGTTTAACCCCTTCATCAGTTATGTTGTTATCATAGAGGTTTAAGCTGTTTAGTTTGCAGTTAGTATGTGTGAGTGCTGTAGATAAATGTTTAACCCCTTCATCAGTTATGTTGTTATCATAGAGGTTTAAGCTGTTTAGTTTGCAGTTAGTGTGTGTGAGTGCTGTACATAAATGTTCAACTGCTTCATCAGTTATGTCGTTATGCCCGAGGTATAAGCTGTTTAGTGTGCAGTTAGTGTGTGTGAGTGCTGTACATAAATGTTTAACTGCTTCATCAGTTATTTGGTTATAAGCGAGGTTTAATCTTTTTAGTTCGCAAAAACCCTGATTGTGTTGGTTGCTAGGTAACAACTTCGCAATCTCAATACATCCTAGCGACTGAAGGTTGTTGAAGCTTAAATCAAAATCCATAATTCCTTCAACAGAGAAACATTTATATTGCATACAAGGATTAGACAACTACTTTACAGTTTATGTTCATTGATTTTAGGTCATTTTTACCTTTCTGGGTTATTTGATTACGATAGAGGTCTAAGATGTTTAGTTTGCAGTTAGGGTGTGTGAGTGCTGTAGATAAATCTTTAACTGCTTTATCAGTTATGTTGTTAGCCACGAGGTTTAACTTGTTTAGTGTGCAGTTAGTGTGCGTGAGTGCTGTACATAAATGTTTAACTGCTTCATCAGTTATGCTGTTACCCGCGAGGTCTAAGCTGTTTAGTTTGCAGTTAGTGTGTGTGAGTGCTGTAGATAAATGTTTAACTCCTTCCTCAGTTATGTTGTTACCCCAGAGGTTTAAGCTGTTTAGTGTGCAGTTAGTGTGTGTGAGTGCTGTACATAAATGTTTAACTCCTTCATCAGTTATGTTGTTATACTGGAGGTTTAATCTTTTTAGTTCGCAAAAACCCTGATTGTGTTCGTTGCCAGGTAACAACTTCGCAATCTCAATACATCCTAGCGACGGAAGGTTGTTGTCGAATAACTTAAAATACAAAATTCCTTCAACAGATTTAAGTGCATGCACTAATGCTAAACAGTCGAGAGGTGACAGGTTACACTGACTAAAATCAAGGGCATTACAACCAATTTTCGCCAGTTTCTTTTGAACTTCTCGATCAGAGGCTTTGTTCTCATACATGCAATTGAATAGCGTCACCACTAAAAACCTGTCTTCATAATCTGGCCAACTGGTCAGTGTTTCCTCTGAATCTTCATTCACCATGATGTCATCTTCATCAGTAAACGTTTCTGAGGGAAGAAGGTCGCTGAAAATATCTGTTGATTGTCCTTCTTTTTCAGCCAGCAGTCCAGCCACAAACTGCATCACAACCTTCCACGCGCCATCCTTGATGTGAGCGGCAACAAAATCCCGCAGTTGTTCGGAACTCAACGTGTCTACCAAATACTTCGCCGCCAAGAACTCCTGTATGGTCAGGTGTAAAAAGCAATATTGCGCTCTTCCCTCTGCTAAAGGACGGTCTCTAAAATCAGGTAAACGGTGAAACAGGCCATTACCCTTTAGGTCGTTAACTTCGTGTGATTCAAAAATTAGTCTTCGGTTTTTAATTCCGTCAAAAGCAATTTTTCCCAGTCGTGTGAACACATTTTGCACAGAGGAAGGCAGTTCCTTAAACGGCTTAAGAAAATACTGTTGACCTTCAGTTTTATTGTGGCGATATTGATCATCATCGTAGCTAAAGTAAAACATCCTTACTGCAATTGAGTATATTTCTGTCAGTCTCGTCGGGAGGCTGGTAAAGCCAGCGTTACCAAGCAGCTCTAACAAGCAACTACAAATGATAAAGCAATTAACAGGAACGTAGCAGAAGGCTACAAGGTTTAAGTTACTGGTGATGTGTTGCTTTATGGTTTCCGCTTTGTCCGCCTCCTTTGTAAACTTCTCTACATAATTATTTACTTGCTCAGTTGAGAATCCCAGAATTTCAACTGTTTTGTGGAAGTCAAGACTTTTCATACATGACACGGCATTGGGTCTTGTAGTCGTTAGAATTGTCGCACCGGTAAGAATTTTTCCCTGTACTATTTTCTTCATAAGGAAATAAACAGGCATCCTTTCCTCTTCACTGTTTCTGTACGGAATGTCATCTTTATTTATTTTAGTCCTACCAGAATATTCGTCAAATCCATCAAAAATCAACAGCACTCGCTCTGGGTTGAGGCGGATGTAGTTCCAGAGCTCTTCGGAAAGAGCGGTTGAATACTCTGAGTGATCCAGAAGCTCGCGAAGATTTAGTTCTTGGTTTCTAGAGTTAAACATTCTCAGCTTAACGAGAAAGGCAACTTTAAAATCGACTTGCGATTTTTGGGTTTCGTTGAAAAGGTTATCGGACGCCCAGTTGCGAAGAATCTTTGTGCTAAACATGGTTTTTCCAATTCCAGGACGACCGACAACAAGAATCTTCTGCTTCTGCCCTTTAGCATCAAAAATATCTCCTGGCCCTGTTGGTCGTAAACTTTCATTGGCTTTGAGGTACTCGTTTAGCTGTTTCACTCTGTCTCCTGAAAAGTCATACTTAGCTCTCCCTTCATAAACAATCAAATTGGTGAAGATTTCGTCAAGTTTTAGATCTCTTCTAGGTCCTTCGCCTGGATTATGAAAAGGTGATTTGAGGTCTCTGTAAGGTTTGTCAGTGACATCTCGGACATGTTTCTTCATACGTTCGATGTAAGGAGCGACTAAGGTTTCATCATAGTGGGTTTGTTGTGGTCCTGAAGAAAAAACACTCATTAGTTTGATAACAAAATTGATATATTATTGATTCACTGATGACGAATAAAACGATAATAATAACAATATTTTCACTACTGTCTAAAATATGCATTTCAAATGTCAAAATATCATTACCGTAAATCCTCCTTCTTTGAGATGGGGGGGGGCGGGGGGGGGGCTCAATTAATTTCGAAAAGACGATGGTATCAGCTCTCCATAGAGAACTACAAAACTAAGTGAAAAAGCTCAAGTACAAGAAGGTTTAAGGTCATGTACGGAGGATCAGAATCAAATCCAAACGTCCAGTTGGTATCCTGGATTATTCCACACGAAGTTTCACAGTCGTGATTGATTAATACAGTCTATCAATTATTAGTAAAGAATAATTAGGGGAGGGGAGGGGGGATTATAAGAGGGAGGGGGGCTTAATAGAGGATTTACGGTGTAATGCGGACTATCATGATAGCGTCTAATTATTGCAAAGTAACTCAAATTGTACTGGTTCCTAAATAATAAGATGCACACTTCTAATGCTTCTTGTTAGTTTACAGAAACATATCACATTCATTGAATCTCACCTTAAACAATCTGAACAAGTGGTGAGTGTTGGACAGCTGAATTTGGGATGGCATGCACCCCAGAGCATGTACCATGTAGCTTATCTGCCACTGCACTATGGAACGAACCCAACAATGGATTCAATAAATCAGATGCCAAGATGTGGCAGCACTTTATGATAGCATAATTACCTTGATAATGAGGCCATGAACGGAAAACATGGGGATCACTCAACATGTGTGCAACAAGAGATGCTGCCATCACACTGGCACAGGAAGACCAACTCTCTGAAGCTAACTGAGAACCATCTGCATAGTCAGCTATTCCTTTCACAATTAACCACTCAATTTGACAATCAAACGCTGCAGTAAATACTCCTGTAGGACAAAAAAACAAACAGTACATGAGTTTTGGGAAAAGTCCTGTTTCATTTAAGTGTCTTCATCAGCAAAATAAGAAAGTTGACCAGACAGTGGGAGATGTTGGCAGCTATTTTTGTACAAGTTTCATTATGGTGTAATTTAAATTTATGTACAAAGATGAGTGTGGGTGGAGGTGCTTGCAGGGCTTGTGGAGCCAGGAAACTGCAGTCGAGTGCAGCTGCTGAAAACCATGACAACCCTTCAAGTGGCAATAATTCAGGCAATTCAGCAATCTCACAGCTAACCAGTGGAGCTTGTATGAAGTGAACCCCGCCTTATGGCCACCTTAGTAATACAGTCACCTTGTTATTCTTGGCCTGGCAAAATGGCCATACATTTTCTAGTGAAAAAACCTTGTTAACACAGTCACCTGTTGATTTGGCCAATGGCCATATTTCGGAAATTGTTAAGCCGTGATTGACATTTAATTAGCTTTCTGTCACTTTGTTCACAATGTAGAGTCTTATAATGGACATTTGATCTTTGGAATTTGATCTTGTTATGCAATCGATATTAGAACACGTTTTTTACTTCGAGACTAGTTTTTTTCGGAACAACATAGGGACAAGTGTATATCTTTGAGTGTTGTGATATAAACGGGATTTTCATTGTGATTACTGAGTATTGGAAGTTATCACACGGAGGCAATTTTCGACACCTGGCACCTCCGACGGGACAAGTGAGCGACTAAATCTCGAACAAGAGAAAAGGATCCAAATTTTCAGGCTTAGGAAAACGCATCATGGAAGCCGCAAAACGGGAGTTACAAACGAACCTCACTCAGCTACAGGTGACACGGGACAAGACGGAAACAGTCCTTACAAGTAAAAACAGCAACCGCATCAAACGACACGTACAGTCGTTAAAAGCTATTGGAAACTCGACAGATGAACCGAGGCGAAAACTAGAAGAAATGAAAATTATAGACGGCGAAGACGGGATCGCAATTACCTCATGGAGTGAAGAGATAGAGAACAAAATCGCAATGGTCGATGAAGATGTCGATAAACTGGCTGCATTCCTCACCGAGGGTGAACAAAGGGAGACAGAAAAAAACAGACAAGAGCAACTCGAATTCGAGAGAGAGCTGATAGAGAGAAAATTTAGGTACCACAAAGAGCTTGAAGAGAAAGATCAACAAGATTCCATTGTCACAGGGAATAAAGACGCCAAACAAACACAAGGTACTAGTAACGCTGCTGAAAACTGAAAACTTTATTTATACTCGAGGGTCTGGAGCTTATTAGGCTCCTAGCTTAAATAGCTAATGAATCGAGGTTAAAAACAAACAAAAAAGAAATGAATTGAATTTAAACTATTTACATCATGATACGATATTGTTTACAGATAATGATTCTAAAAGGTACAATCTTAACTCACTGTTACAAAGTTCGATGGAACATACCTCGATTGGAATCGTTTTTGGGGCCAATTCACTGAGGCTATTGACAAAACTGGGATGGTCGCAATAACGAAGTTTTCTTATCTCAAAGAATTTGTGGATCTCAAGGTGCGAAAAACAATCGATGGGCTCCCATTTACCTCGGAAGGGTACAATCGAGCAAAAAGTATCTTAATGGATCGTTATGGCAAGGAAAGTGAAATTGTGAAAGCGTATGTGCAAAATATTCTTGATCTGCCCCGGATTAAAGGAACAAATCCACAAAAAATTCATCAGTTTTACGAACAACTGCGGTACAATGTACAGTCACTGGAAACAATGGGAAAGCTGGGAGATGTCAGAGGAAATGTGGCGTTGACGATAGTCAAGTTAGGTAGCTGGGATTCCGGAGATTTGGTCCGCAACGACGACGATTGGCAAAACTGGGATTTTATCAAACTTTGTGACGCATTGGGCTCCTGGATACGTCGAAATCCAGTGGAATCAAGTGAAGATCATCGAGATGAAACGCCACAATCGAGACGTGATCAAATAGCTCGGAGAAGTTATGCAACGCAACAAACACGTGCGTGCGTGTACTCTGAGGACCCCACGCACAGAGGTCTTGAGTGTCATCGCGTGACATCTTTTGATGAAAGGAAAAACATTTTGGCGACAAAGAAGCTCTGTTTCAACTGCACCGGACCAAAACACCGAGCAATCGAGTGTAACAGCAAAATTTCTCGCCGTCATTGTGCCAAAAAACATCACACATAAATCTGTGATCGTCAACAAGCACGTGAGCCGGGGATGACCGCTTCGCAAGTGGGAAATTCAGCCGTCATTCACCCTGTAGTAATCGTCAAGGTAGCAGGATACAAATTTCGGGCCCTTCTCGACAGCGGTGCAAGCCATTCATACGCATCATCTACTTTTGTGAATCTAACAAAAGCTGAACCCAAAGCTTCCGGAGTTCGTCAAATTGCAATACTTGTGGGCGTGGCTACGAGAGTCATGCAAGAGTACAAAGTGTCGATGCAGTCCGTGACAGATGAGTTTTCATTAGACGTGAATGTGACCAAAGTTGACAAACGGGAATTGCTCTCATTCAGGAAAACCCCAAGTATAAGGAAGTCCTGGCCAAGTATCCCCATCTGAGAGGGGTGTACATCGACGATGATGACGACAAATGAGTGCTGCATGTCCATCTCATCCTGGGAGCAAACGACTTTGCGAGAATACGTACGGGGGAGCGATTACGAGTTGGTCGCCGTGGAGATCCTGTAGCTGAGTTTACACGCTTTGGGTGGACGCTGGTGTCACCAGCTGCTGAGACCGATTTATCTCCAGTGTACCTTGCTGTGAACTCTACTGCCGACTACGAGCGTCTGTGTGCTTTGGACGTACTTAATCTTTCAGACAGTCCTAAAGGCGATCAAGGAAACGTATACAGTGAGTTTAAGGAGCAGTTGACGCGCTCTTCAGATGGCCGATATGAAAGCGCACTACCTTGGAAAGGTGACCATCCTCCACTTCCTAACAATAAAAACGGCAGCCTTCTCCGATTGAATTCCTTGTTACGCAAACTTCGACGAACAGACATGCCAGCCCAGTATGATGCTGTTATCCAAGAGTAACTAGAAGAGGGTGTGGTCGAAAGAGCACCTTCTGAAGCGATGGGAAAAGAATTCTACTTGCCTCGCCGAGCAGTAGTTCGAGAAAACGCTGAGACGACAAAACTTCGAGTGGTGTACGACGCCTCCGCTCACGCCCATAATAATGCACCATCTTTCAATGATTGTCTTCACGCTGGCCCACCGTTACAAAACCAGCTATGGAGCGTGTTAACTCGTAACCGATTCCACAGTGTGGCTGTCACAGGGGACATACGGAACGCGTTTCTTCAGATAAAGATCCGCCAAGCTGAGCGAGACTCATTACGGTTCCATTGGATTAAAGACGTGCATTCGAGCGAAGTGGAAATTCTGCGTTTCACCCGAGTGGTGTTCGGTTTGGCCCCGTCCCCGTTCCTGCTAAACGGAGTCATCCAGCAACACCTTGAACTGTGGAGACCACGCCTCCCAGAAAGCGTCAGTGAAGCATTAAAGAGCCTGTACGTAGATGGTTTTATCTCAGGTGGCCCCACCGTGAAGACGCAAAGAAGTTGAAACGTGAAACGGCTGAAGTTTTTGCTGACGCAAGGTTTGAACTCCACAAATGGCACTCAAATGTACCAGACCTAGAGACGACTTCCGGCGATGACGAACCCACCTTTGTCAAGCAACAACTTGAAAACAAATTGAATCGAGGGAAGAGTAAACTCCTTGGACTCCCATGGCACAAAGTCCAGGACACGTTAAGCGTAGTGTTTGCTGCTGAAACAGCTGAGTTGACGAAGCGCGGAGTTCTTGCAAATTTGGCCAAAGTCTACGACCCACTTGGATTGGTGTCGCCCGTGATGCTGGAGGGAAAATTGATCTACAGAGAAATTTGCAACCAAAAACTCGCTTGGGATGCTTCGTTGGCAGACGTTTACGCAAATCGATGGAAAAACTGGGAACACAAATTGCCAAACAGTGTCACTCTGCCGCGCAGTTTGGCAACCTATCAAGAACCGATCAAAGAAATAAAGTTACACGCCTTCGGGGATGCCAGTGGACATGGCGTGAGTGCTGCGATTTATGCTGTTGTTACGCAAGAATCTGGCGTTACACAAGGTCTGGTTGCTGCCAAGTCTCGTCTTGCCAAACAAGGGCTGACCATTCCTCGTCTCGAACTGATATCGGGACACATGGCTGTCAATTTGGTGACAAACGTTCACAAAGCATTGGAAGGGTTTCCACTCGCAACCGACATCCAGTGCTGGTTGGATAGCACAGCTGCATTACACTGGTTGCGTGACCAGGGTGAATATCGTCAGTTCGTCACATACTGCGTGCGAAAGATTCAAAGTCATCCAAACACTCAATGGCGTCACGTACCTTCTACTGAGAATCCTACAGACCTCGGTAGCCGCGGTGGGAGTGTGACAGATGTACAGCTGTGGTGGAGAGGCTCAGAGTGGTTAGCAGACCTAACAAGCTGGCCAGAAGATATCGTGACGCAAGCGAGCCAACAAAGTGATGCAGAAAGGAAAGTTCAACGAGAGATCTTTACGGCGGTAATCAAAATCGGTGATGGCCTTGATCGTGTCCTAGAGAAGTTTGACCTGCACAAAGCCCTCAGAGTTAGCGCATGGGTCTCACGTTTCATTCGCAACTGCCAGCACCCTTCGGAGAAGAACCAAGGCCCCCTTTCGACACAGGAAATCACCGCATGCAGACTCTTCTGGATTAAACGAGCGCAACAAGAAGGGATCAGCGACGACCACTTTTAAGAAGACAAGTCACAGCTAAACTAGCCTGAGTATCAGGCCTTCCTAAGGGGCTAGGGGAGAGGAGATTTTAGATGAGGGAGGGGGGAGGGGGAGGGGGGAGAAGAGAAAGGAAGGCCTGACACAAAACCATTCAGCAAATCGTGTGACACATCCAGAATCTGGATGTGGCAGCTATTGGATAACACACAATACTCCCTGACGTCACCGACCACAAGTAAATACGAGCAGAGCGATCGGCAAGGAGAAACCATCGAAATTTTTAATCGATGCTTTGATTTCATGTGGTGCTTTTATGGAAAGAGACGTAGTGAGAAATTCAAAAAGGCTCTAGAGGGCGCTCTCAAGTTCTTTCCTGGAATAATGTGTTTTCAAAGCCTCGTAGTTAAAAGAAAAGACTATGTTCTCGGAGTATGGAAAAGCCTCATATACCAGCTTCGGCCGAAACAATGTCCGATTATTGGTTTCACAAGACCGGGACAAAGAAGACGATGTCAGTGCTTCAGATATCTAAGTTCTGATTTACAACATCCTGCCGTTAAAAGGGTATTGTTACTGTAAATAAAATTAGAGCGAGAGCGAGGTAGCCATGTATTGAGAATAGCCGACAACACCAAGGCTCTAGCTTGACTTAAATGCTTGTGCCGGTTACACAGCGGTTACGATAGCGAACGTGATTGGAATTCGTTCGCTTCCTCTTCCAAATTTTTCTTCACTTTTGAAATGTCTTAAGCTCAAGCGGGCGCCATCATATTTCGCCAACGGGATTGACCTTTGCTATAGGCTCTCACTTTTTTCTTAACTGAACTTGTTGCAGCTTTCACGAGCTCTCTATGAAGTGGCAGAATTTGCGGCTGCTTGATAATTTTCTGGGCATAGGTGTTTCACCATCGCACCTTCCTATTTATTCTGGCAGCTCCTTTCAAACACCCGAGAATACGAGGAATAACCAACAAAACCTAACGAAGAAAAAGAGATTTTCCCTTGGACGATTCTTGGCCTGATCTACCCCAGCTTTTTAGCTGCTAGACTCTCATCAGGAATGAGTGCTTGTTGTAACTCTGTAAACAAAAGCAATTTACAATTTTCCGGGCACACGTTTTTTTACAAACAGAGCGTTGGCGATCTTACACTAGCACAATTCCTAAAACATGTTATAATTCCTCAAAACGGCAGGTTTTTCATTACAAGTATTCGAAAACTCCTCATTGGAGCTTTCAGAAAAAAGCGAAATCATAGCAACACAAGCACCGGAGCTCGGCCAGACCGTAAGGTGAGATTTATTTTTAGGCGAGCTTTTTGACACTTGAAGCCGACAACCCAATGACCGGAAGTGATTTTGATTGGATGATATCGAATCGTGCTGTGTGGGGGTGGAAGGCTCCAGTAAAAGCATCTGTGTCAGGCGTTTCTCTCCTTCAGCTCTCTCCCTTTTTCGCTTCCATCTTTCCCCTAAATTCCCCCGAAACGCCTGATACTCAGGCTACAGCTAAACCTACAGAGAAACGCCGATGGGGTGTTGGAATGCCGGGGACGCATTCAAGGAGAATACCCCATTTTCTTGCCGTATTCTGCCCTTTACTCCATCAAAGTAGTTCAGCGCGCCGATGTAACCACTTTGCACGGGGGAGTGGGACTTACAATGGCGAAGGTTCATGAAGTCCAATGGGTACCTCGCCTTCGCACACTCACCAAACGAGTTCTTAGGAACTGTTGGGGCTGTAAAAGGTTCCAAGCTGTGGCTGCTCCTCGCCCACCAGCCGGACCCCTGCCAAGGGACAGAACCGAAGGAGACAATCCCTTCAGTGTCATTGGAGTAGACTTCACCGGACCTGTAAAGTATCTGCAGCGGAAATCAAAGAAGGAACAGAAGGCGTACATCGTGATATATTCTTGCAACTTGACCCGTGCAGTATTCTTGGAATTGCTACCAAGCCTGGAAACGGGAGAATTTATCAAAAGCATAAAATGCCTAATAGCGAGAAGAGGGAGGCCGACAAAGATTTACTCAGACAACGGGAGAACGTTCATCGCCGTAGCTAACTGGTTGAAAAAAGTACGCAAAGATGAAAGGCTTAACACCTTTCTCAGTACTCACGAAATAACCTGGCAGTTTAATTTGAGCCGCGCCCCTTGGTGGGGCGGACAGTTCGAACGACTCATCGGGGTAATGAAGGGTGCCTTCTACAAGACACTGGGACAAGGTCAACTATCCTGGGACGAGCTCAGTGAGGTGCTCCTGGACGTTGAGATAGTACTGAACAACCGCCCCCTCAGTTACGCAGAAGATGACGTACAGCTACCCACGCTGACGCCGAACGCTCTGTTGTTCATCAAGTCCAACATTTTGCCAGAACTGCAGTCGTATCATCTGAAAGAAAAGGACCTCAGGAAACGAGCGAAATTCCTTCAAAGGAGTGAAGATGCGATTTGGCGCCGTTGGTCCTCTGAATATCTACGAGCACCACGAGAACGACACCGCCTGAAGTATGGAAATTCAAAGAATCCTCTGTCAGTAGGGGATGTGGTGATATTGAAGTCAGAAGAACGAAACCGAAACCGAAACTACTGGCCACTTGGGATCATAGAGAAGCTAATTGTGGGGCGTGATGGCGTAGTTCGTGCAGAGAGGGTGCGAACTCGGAAGACCGTCCTGGAGAGAGCCATACAACATTTGTACCCCCTGGAATTGTCGTGCGACAGATCAAATGACCCAACGCCTCTCAACCCTACCGCGCCGCCATTCAGGCCCAGACGGGATGCAGCAGCTGCAGCAGAGTTACGTATCCAAGACATTGCTAATGATGACCAGTGAACATTGAATTTGAGACACTCATATAGACTGAACTTTGAACCGAACATTTCATTTGTTGCGTTACTCGATCAACGTCGTTTAGTTTTTTACTTTTCGTTAAAACTCGGTTTCCTCAAATATTACATATGCCTCGTAAACGAGCCATATGGGGGGAGTGTGTTTCGGAAACTGTTAAGCCGTGATTGACATTTAATTAGCTTTCTGTCACTTTGTTCACAATGTAGAGTCTTATAGTGGACATTTGATCTTTGGAATTTGATCTTGTTATGCAATCGATATTAGAACACGTTTTTTACTTCGAGATTAGCTTTTCTCATAACAACATAGGGACAAGTGTATATCTTTGAGTATTGTGAAATAAATGGGATTTTCACTGTGATTACTGAGTGTTGGAAGTTACCACACGGAGGCAATTTTCGACACATTTTAAAATCCCAAACAGTAGCAATAAAATATTTCACCCCACTAAAACGGCCACTTGTCAGAAATTTTGAAAATTGAAATGCCTGTGACATGTCCATTTCATTGACCTAGTGATTAAGCTGAGCTTGTTTTTCTACTCTTTTTAAACTGTAGTCACTTACAATGTACTTTGTGGTGGTCTAATAGCCAGTTTTTTAAAAACTTTTATGTCCTGACGGAGTTTCAAGTAGTTTTTACAACTATGGTACGTGATATCTACATTCCTGTTATTTATTTAAGAGAACAGAGTTGTACAAGAAGTGCGACAGCAATGTATGATGTGCTTGTCATTACAGTCCTCAAGTCATGAAGTTTGACCCTGCCCTTGTAATACAGCCACCCCACTGACGTGGCCAAATTGTTTTGACCCATTAGTGACAGTATTAATGGGGTTCCACTGTACTTACCAAAGGGAAGGCAGGTTAAGGAGCGGAACAATTGACGAGTACAAGCAACGTTAATTCGCTACGTGAATGTAATGGTATGACCTCAACAGAGAAGCTGTGAATTCCCTAGGGTCCCTCAAGAGCCTTCTCATTTGAAAGACTAACTTAACGGGCCAGCCATGTCAAGACTTAAACTTAGGCTAAATGTGATTTAGCTGCATAATGTTTTTGGCTATATGACAATTATTTCTCTGGCAAAAACGAGAGGATTTCCCAATGAAACTGACAGACATGATTTAAAGTGCCAAACTACCGACCTTTTGACGCTTTAAAGGAAACACAATTTTTGCTTTCCCAGTACAAGTATGATGCACGATACTGTGTTTCTTTCCACCTCCTCAAGCAAAACTTGACCTAACTGTGTACACCTTAACTTATAAAGACTGGCTGCAAAAAAGCAGTTGGCCTACCTTCTCCTTCATTTTCCATTGCTATTGCCTGAGGATATGTTTCAGCAAGTTGATCACGCCGCTGCTCAGAATTGACTTTTTCTGGTCCACTCAGAAACTCTGCAGCAGTATGAACTTGAACTTGTTGAGCATCAGCCAGGTTCTTCAACGGTGCTTGCCAGCCATGAGTACAGTACTTAATGACATCCAGAAAACGTTTGCTCACACAATTTCTCAGGCCAGTTGACTGTTCTTGATTACTGATCACTTTTTTGGGAGCATATGCTGCTATTTTGGCAGGCACAACAACATCTCCTAACTTGCCTTTCTCAGGGTGAAGACTGCTACACGTACCAACAGATATAACTGCTTTAGGTCTGAGTACAGTAGCTGCCTTCATAACAGAGACAAGAGAACCACCAGGGCCAGCAGCATCTTCATAACATTTTAATAATGCGACTTTAACTTTCTCTTGACTTCTATCCACATCAGAAAAGTAAACATATCCGAGACCATAAAAAAAACATCTATAGGGGTTCTTAAGCTCACTGTAACAAGCTAAGAACTCACAATCCTTTACTGTCAGTAACAGAACATCAACAGGGAGATCAGCAGGTTTGGTTATTGTCTTAATGTCACGCGAAGATGAGAGAACTTTATTAAGCTCAAGAGGGCCTCTAATTGGCTTCTTTGCACTGCTTGCAGTATTGTTTACACAAGAAGGGAGACGGCTGGTAAGCTGTGGTGCAGAACCATCACTTCCATCTGATCTACTGGTTGTATCCTCCGGAAAATCAGTGGTAAGCTGGGGTGTATTGCCATGACTGTCCTCTGATCTGCTTGTTAAATCTTCTGAAATTCTTATTATCTTTGATCCTAATCAGTGCATGAAAAATAATTAAAATTAATGATAATAAAAGTTGAAATATCAATAAAACAATATATAATATTTATAACAATATGGGGTGCTAATGGCAGGTTGCAAAGACACAGAAAAAAGTGTCAGAACCTGGACCTTGCACCTTTTTGCCACTAGCATTAAATGAGACTTAAACATGGCTTCTTGGTGTAAGATTGGCTCTATTTATACTTAACAATGTAAAATTTAGCACTGGAAATAAGTACAATATCTTTGTAGCACCAGGAATATTATATTACTTTTTACTGAAACAGTACTATATATCACAGCAATAACCAATAAGATTGTACTGTTAGTAATAATAATTTGAATTTCTTCTTTTGCTGTGTCCATGCACCTACTGACTGATAAATTCATTTCAAAAACTAATTAATAATTCATAAATAAAAAACAAAAGAAATTAATGTTTAATGATTGTCTTTATATCTGATTAAGACACGGCTAAACTTCCCATTTTTAAGACCAAAATAAGCCCAAATCTAAATATTAGTGCAAGAATGAGTTGATCTATATCAGAGATTTTGAAGCCATTCAAAAAACTTGTAGTCATGTAATACACTCCTGCTTGTTTTTTTAAACAGTACATAAAATTTAAATGTTAAAATCCCAAAGTTTCAGCTAAAACTTGGCCTTAATTGTACAAATTGGCAAAACCGATGCCTTTTGAATCATCAGAGATGGAATTTGTGGCATGAGTATTTGAATGTTTGAAAACTTCTGTGCTAACTGAAAGTGCAGGACAGTTTTGTCTGTCATCATCAAAGGATTATTTTGGTAGTTTCTGATTGAGGGTGTAATATTTGGGACAGGTTTTGTTTCAAAAATACATGTGGTCCACTTTAGAGATACATGTACAGGGGAGAGCAGCATGTACTAATACAACGGCATCAATTCTTCTGAATGTAGTGAGAGATAACTACAGATTGGAGGAAGATGGGCTTCATGTTTTCCAGCCTCACACTAAAATGAGTAAAAACAAAATGCCAGATTTAGCCAAAAAAGCCTCTGTTGAAAGGCAGTTAACAGTTAATCTGACCACAACCTTGCATGTATTCACCAAATGACAAGTTGCTCCCCCTTCTATGATCTGCCTAGTTCTATAATCTTTCTGCCTTTATGTAAATAGCCCCTAACAAAAGGTTTTCTTAAGATTGGTCCACATGCAACAGTTTTTTTAAAGAACTAATCACTCACTAGTTTAATCAAAGAAAGACTATCGTCAACTCGTGGGTACGTTGTTTAGAAAATAATCAATTAGTTATCACCTCTGGTTTTCCCACAGTAAATTTTAGGAAATGATAGAAATTCAGATTATAAATATACTATCCTTGTTCTGGAAACACAATACTATTCACTGATTCACCTCCACTTCCTCCGAGCGAGCGACGCCAAACTCGCCTAAGTTGCGAACAAAATGCCTTCCCGGTTTGCTGCCGTAACAAACTACGAAATTTCACAACTGATCAATCAAGCTATTCCCAAAATACATGAAGAAGGTGAAGAGGTTCGGTTTGGAAGTTTTAACAGGTAAAGCTTTGTCTTTTTGACTTGAATTTATCGATAAAACCGGTGGAAAAGTTTTTTGTTTACAAATGCAAATTAAGCTGAAGTCTTGCGTTGCTTTATTTAGTTGACTTGTTCATAAATAAGCTTCAAACTAAATTTAATCATCTTTTTTTACAGAACGATTTTAAATACAAAAAGAATTCACAACTGCTTTTGAAGAAACGTCCCCGCAAGAGCTAAACAAACGCCTTCAAAAGTTTTATTTGTCGCCAAGAAAAAGCGACGACCGCGGCCGTTCGGGAAATACTCACTACTAGCCACCTCCACTTCGGTGAATAATTGTTATTTAGTAACAGTTATTTAGGTATATATTTAAAAACAAAAAAAACAAAAAAAACAGCAAACAAATAAGCAAACAAAACAAAACAAAAAAGAAAAAAAAAAAGGAAGAAGGGAAAAAGAAGGTTCTTAGCAGAATTTGAACCTATAACCTTCACATAGCCACTACGCCCTTGAGGATGATCGCATGACGTGGTGAAAAGTTTCAAATTTAATGCCTTTTTCATGGAACTTCCGCCGGCAAACGATCGAGCCATACTTAACCGATTGAAAAAACGACTCGAAGCAATCGGATGAAATTAAGGCTAATTGAAACCAGGCTACTGACGGTAAAAAACAATGTAAACGCATTTCATGGCAATAAAAGAACATATGCAATACAGAGCCGACACAACTCCTCCACGAAGTAGGAAGCAGAACATAAGCTTATGTTTTCTTATCTCGATTTCCGCTGTCATTTTGAAGCTAATGCTCAAAATCACCTCCATTTTCCCTCGTGATCTTGGGGAGTCCTTAAGAAGAAGTGCCTTTATTTACCTTGCATTCATTCATACACATAACCTACTACATTACTACAAGGTAGGAGATCAAGCCAGCATCGAAGTTGAAGGAGTCGAAGAGCAAATGCTCATCTTCTCGTCAAGTTTAACGCCTGGACGAGTCAAAGGCTCTTGAATCGTACTAATCTGAAAGATTCCTGCATGTCTTAAATTTGGTAAGACCTCTATCCTCTAACCGTGCTGTAGCGCACGATGCACGCTCTCAGCGAGGAATTTGATGCCACCGAACTTCGGCGAGCGCGTGCTTCTTTGGAAACGATAGATCTTCGCGTTCTCGAGTTCGGACCCGATTAATTACGAAGTGCGTCTACTACGAGTGAGCGAGTGACTCATTTGCATATCCCTGTCCCTACAATAACTCGTGGTACGCTCGCGCGTACCTACGAGTTAAAAATAAGGGGGTTCTTCCCAACTTTGCGAGGAGGGATAGGTTCAGCCAAATGTTAGTTAGTGTCCAATGTCCCAGTAATTATGATCAAGGTTGCAATAACCTTACATAATTATTTGAACAGCGAGTGATCAAATTTTCATTTTTAGCTTCATGTATAGGAGGGCTCATTATCTAGCCATAGAAATTACCTTCTTCTTCTGGGTCTTCAGCCGCATCTCTCCTTCTCTTTGTTGCTTGCATGACATTAAGTTGAAATGGCTTCACACAAACTGGAGAATTAAATTAAATTTTAAATATTAATGAGCCAAAAAAAAAAATCCAAAGCAACTTTGATAAGTAACAGTTTTCATGACCACAATTAACAATGCTCCTAGTAATACATAAAATGACTGAAAGAAAAACCTGTTATATAGACTTGTTATATAGAGCTGATGGGGTTTGAGTGAGGGACCTCAGATCGTAAAGGAATCAGGCTAGTGCAAGAGTTCTCTTGTATCTCTACAATTTTTAATTACGGTAGAGGTAAATTCTGGGTACCTCTCTGCTCAGGCAGGGATAACAAAATTAATGAAAAGATTGGAACAAGGAAAACTAAAAGTTTAAACAGTGATGAGTAATCTTTGCAATCCTAAGAAAAGATTTAGACAAGTTCTGTCCTTTAACTCTTTCATTTCAGTCACAATCAAGTATAAATGAGATATGCAGTCTATACAAAACAGGTGCCTAGATATGGGTGTTACAAAAACTAAGACCCTCAAAAACTAAGACCTTAGACCTGTCTTAGTTTTCGAGATTACGAAAACTAAGACCCCCTAAAATCAAATCCGTCGAAATATAAAGTCAAATTGTAACCGAAATAGGTCTGATCTGGCTTTCCACTGGAGATGGATGTTTTTCTTCGTGTCTCTGCGATTGAGATTGCGTTACCTGAAACATCACCTGAGGGGGTTTGTGTCCAGCGGTTGTCGTGTTTATTTTATTGTTCTGAAATTAGAACTCCAATTCTCGAGACGATGCTTTGCTAGTACAGGAAATTCATTCACTCATGAATTCGTTTTTTTATTATTATTTCATGAGTGATTTTAGCGATTATCCCTCACAGACTATTTCTCCTTGCCCCTCACCTCTACCACTCAACTACCTTTGCATTGTAACCCGGTGATCTCCAGGGTGGCAACGATAAAAACAAACGCTAGAAAAACGCAATGTATCATATCCTCCTTTTTTCTCCCTTTTTATAAAAGCACTTTTCTATCTATGACCTGGCCAGAAAAGGAAAAAAAAATCCATGTTTTTGTGTGATGTTTAACCGATAATGCCATTGACCACTTAGTGATCAGGCATTCAGGTCGCAGCGACATGTCAGCCCGCAACAAAGACAAAAATCCATCTCCAGTGGAAAACCAATTTTATGACTTTAAGGATAAACAACCAAAATTATAGGGGTAAGGCATATTTTCAGTGTACAATTATACGTAGGTAGTCTATAGCTTTCATTCTCTTCTTAAAGCCACAACATTGCTAATGCATGTCTGCAAATTGTTAAAAGAAGCGGATCGTCTAGCACGCGTATATGATAGTAGTTTTTGTTTTTCTTACGGATTATAGTCTTCAAACGGTCGTAATTCGACTTTGTAGAAATTTCAGAGATTGTTTTGGTGGGGGTCTTAGTTTTCGTAATTACGAAAACTAAGAGGGGTCTTAGGTCTTGGGTCTTAGTTTTTGTAACACCCCCTAGATATAATTGGGATACCAAGAACACCCCTTTCAACGTTAGAGAACAGGTGCAACATAGCAACAAAGCGTGAATTAGAAAGAACAGTGAATGATATTAACCAACCACATCAAATTTTTCTCAAAAGCCAAACACCATGGCTATAACTTAAGATCCAAACCAGGTTCAGTAGCAATACCAAAGTCAGGAAAGCAAAGACATATACTAACTCATTTTTCGCTACAGCTGCAAGACTCCTTCTTTTATGATCTGTATATCTTTACTTACTTTAATCAGAAATTCACTTAATAGTATTCATAGTATATGTTTCTTCACTTTAATTATGTAAACCCATTGTATATATTTTTTAAAGATGGATAAATAAAACTTATTATTATAATGCTGTTTGCAGCTCCTAAGATTTGCCCTTACACACAATGAACTTAACACTATCTAATTCTTTCTCTTGTAGAAACCTTTTTAACTATGAAATCAGGGATAAGGAGACAAACTATAACGTTTTTGAACTTGCTCACTTCAGTACAAGGTTACAATATCCGATGGAATGACATCTTATCCAATTAGTATACACCTATTTCAATTAAGGTTGCTTCTGAGAAGAATGATGCATGATCCATGTTTCATGGCCCATGCTGCATTATTGTAGCAAGTCTAGTAAATTATGCACCCACAACGAGCCTAGAAACCTAGAAAGTAAACGCTACTGACGCTTCTATGCTATGTCAGCAGAACATTAAGACAATGTATTTCAAAACACTGAATCCTAGGCTTTTTAATTCAGTTTTTAAGACAGTGATTTTGAGGTTAGGTTTTTCTCTGTGGTAAATTATTCAAATGCTGCAAATTTTCAACGAGTTTGCTTGGCTCGTGCACGTGGGAATTTTGGATGGAGTTGAAAAAAAAATCAAATTCAAGGCGTTTGTTGAACAACAATAAATAACTTAACATTATGTGTTCATCTATTTTTGAGGCAACTTTTTTAAAACTGAATAAAAAAAGAATAGCGTTGATTTGCTTTATTGACATAACCAGTATTCTGGCCCATGCAAAAACGCAGGTTAATCAGGCGGTAAAACCCTATCCATTTAATGTTGTTGAAAGAAGAGGCTTCTAATTTTTTACTATGAGATTTTAAAAATGAAATTTTTCAGCTTGCTTATGCTTAAGAATTTTAGCAGACATTTGACTTGAAAGCTCTCTTGACTGCCTTTTCACAAATGGTCTCCATCATTTCAATAAACATGAACAAGACTAAACTTCACGCTACAATAGGGTTTACCATAGTGCACTGCAGGCTATGAAACATGGTTCATGGGAGCAGCCTTAATTGAAATACTAGGTGTATTCAGATTAAGCAGGGACAACTTATTGTTTAGAAAAAAATTAAATTCATTCTCATAAAGACGTTTACAGTATCATCATCATCTTGCAATGTCCTCTGTTACTGATATATGTATATAAATTCCACAAACATAATTCCCACAAGTCCAAAAAGAAGGATGATTTTGATTGGAAAGATTGTTTTACCTTGTCTGGGCTGAAGGCTGACATAGTGAAACTCGTGAATGTGTCCCAACACAAGGGGGTTGGTATTGGCAAGTGCACGATCTGGCTGGACAACTATCTCATGGTCGAGACTGCTGATAATACGGATGGGAGTTTGAAAGTGATTTGCTGCAGCAAACAAAACCACATGATCGCCCCAAGTACTGTCTTTCGCCATGCTTTGTAAGTATTCACGCCATGATGGGTATCCAGAGACAAAGTTAAGCAGAGATGTTCCATCGTGCTAAAAAACAAAAGCAATCAAATAACTGAATTTCAATTTTTTCTGACTAAGCAGCATAGACGTGGAGTGATTTTAACCTGCTAGAAAGTTTATTTAAAGTTCATTTAAAAGTGAGTAGTTGGCTAGGCTAAAACCTTGTCACTCACCATTGCGTGACATAGAATCTCATGTGAGAGTGAAACATAAACTCATTTGAATATTGTACCCTTTTGGAAGATTTTCATAACAAGAAAAAAGAGTACCATTTTTTAAGTTCAGGCTGTATAGTAACTTTTAAATTCCACCATTATCAATAAAAATAAGCAAGTTAGCCATTCTAAGCAGGAAACGATTAGCATTGTTTTCACACACACCTCCCTAAAATGCAAAGAGCTTTGTAATCATGTTAACATTATTTTTTTTGCTAAAACTTCTCTCGAGAAACTTTCCCAGTAAAACTTGCTACGCAACAGTGGTGACCAATGAGGAAACCTACATCATGTAAGAAAACACCAGAGTCACCCGGCTGCTCCTCTTCGCTGATTGACCAGAAATTTTTTTCTGGCCAATCAGAAGCAGGCATTTCAAACGCTTCTCAAACTGATTTGGTAAGAGTCAGTGCCCAGGGGCTCCTCCCTATCTTATAGTAAACTTTTATCGCGAACATTCTGTGGTCCCGACAAGCTGCCCCTGGCCAGGGGGTCTCTGGGGATGTGGCTACCTTTACTTAACACGCTTTGCCGTTACTAAGTTAATAATAATTATTGTTAGTCTTTATTTTTTGACGTTGGAAATCCCTGGGGAGTACTCCCTTACATTAACCTTATAGCTATCGCTCTGAGATAGTGTCAAGATTTGGTGAGCTGGACAGCACACCTTAACTACAACTTCCCAGAAATACCCCCTGGGGAGAAATGGAAGGTATTTTATGAACTGGGCCCACCTTGAGGCAGCCCTGTTAATGAATTATTTGGATTCTCTCCAAAATTCTGGAAGTGGTTTTCAAGGAGAAATGATACTGTTGACTGGGATTTTAAACAAAATTCACCTAGGTCACCTGTAACTTTAGATGAGGACTATTTCAAGTCATGACGTATTTGTGTGATGTCACCAAGACAAGTGACCTAAAATGGTTGTTTTTGGTTGTTATTAACTTCCAAGTTTCACTGTCAAAGCATTTCAGACTAAATACAAAGAGGTGGGTGATTGCAAAGAAGATTGAGCGAGCCTAGTCTTGATCCCATAATACTTCAGTTCTTCTTTGCTATGTTCAATCTCCGTTTTTATCCAATTTAGTTTAGCAAAGAAATGTTGAACTGAGTTAAGGAATCAATTATTGGCATGATACAATTTAAGGAACAGCTGTAGGGCAGTAATTAGCAGTGATATGAAGTAATTAAGAATAGGACGAGCTGGCTGATATAAGAGTATAAGTGATAGATAAACCTGGAGCTGACTCACTAGTTCTCACGTGGACAGCATGATATGTGTAGTTCCTTAATTAAATTATCATATGAGGGGAATCCGCCAAACAGACACAGAAGGCCCCTTAGTTAGGCTAGTCATCAACTTACCAGATTAGGGTTCTCATCGAGGAACTGAACCATGGTTTTTCTTAGCTCTTTGTGTGAGATTTGAATTCCTTTGACACTTTGTAATTGTTCTGATAATGCATGGAATAAACAGTTCCCAGATCCTTGGTTATCAGAAACAAAGAATCCTTTGTTGGCAGCGATC